TTCCCCAACTAAATTTAAAAAAATTTGCCTTGCCCCGCTAAAATTTTTCTCTTTTTTTTACTCCCTTAAAACCCTTTTTTCCCCCCTTAAACTTCCTCTGTTCGGTGCTTTTTTTTTCTGTTTTGGGGCCCCTCCTCAAAAAAATGGGAAAGGTAAGTCTGTTTTTTTCTTTTCGGGCTCATCGGGGATGTTGGTTAATTTTCCCCTTTTGGGAAAATTAGGGTGCTGTTAATGTCGGGAAATTTAATTAATAAGGGCATAATTATTTTTGGTGCCTAAATTGGTTAGGGGTATTTTTTTGGGGAAAACGAGAAAAATGAATTCCCTGTTTAGGGGGATTTTCTCCAATTATTTTTTGGGGGAAAAACCCTTGGGTTTTGGGTCAAAGTTTGTTTTTTTAGGGAAAATTTCTCCGTTCCCAGGGGGTTTTTCCCAATCCAAAATCTCGGGATCCCAAATTTCGTTGCCCGGGAAACCCGGTTGGAGGGGTTTTCAAATTTGTTTTTTGGTGGGGATTTGTGATCTAAATTTTGGGAGGGTGGACCCGGTTCAAAATCTTTAAGGAATTGAAATTCTGATTCGCATTTAATGTTGTGCTGGTGCTTTATCGTGGCCAATAGGAACCCTAAAAATATTTAAACCCAGGGGTTTTGGGTTATTAATTTGGTCCCCTGCCTATAGGGGGTTCGGGTCTTGGTAACCCGTCGCTTGAACCCCGAAATTTATTTTGATAATCCACACAGTTCCCCTAGAAAATCCCTTTTTCCTTTTTTTTGATTTTCTTTTCCCCCTTTTAATGCCCTTCTGGGTAGGTTTTTTAAAGTTATCAATTTTTTATATTATTTTGGGCTCATTTTCCCTTTTGTGTGGGCTCAATTTTTTTCTCTCAACCTTTTTAAATCCAGTATCCAGAAAAAATTAGCTTCTTCTTTTTTCCTAAAAAAAACTAGAAATTTGGGGGAGATCAATCCCACGTTTTTAAAAGGGAATTAAAACCCAACCCGGGTTTCGCTTTTTTTAGGTCATTGTTTCTGGAGAAATTTCCATCTCAGAGATCGGGTATCCATGTTTTCTTTTATGAAATTTTTCCGGGAAAAGTGACACCCCAAAAGGTTTTTATCCCCCTGCAGAGGGTTTACATTCTGCAAATGCAAAAAAAAATCCCTCCCCAATCTTCAGTTTTTGGTATTAAAAAAACCAATTCATGAGATAAAAGGGAACTCTAAAGGGCCCCTACTTCAAAAAACCCCATGATGATAGAATAGGAAACAAAATTTAAAGCATTTTACTAAAAAGGGTAAAAACAAACGTGGGAAAAAAAGGAAACCCTCCGCGGACCCCCCTCCATAAAAATAAGGGGCCTATCCACAGTTAAAAAAAACCAAAAACCCTTTTTAAAATGAAAATATAAAAGTAAAAATAAAATAAGGGGCGGGCGCTAAACATATGAATAGCCCTAAATTTTATAAAAATACAAAACACATGTAAATGAAAATTTAAGTTAATAATGATAAAAAGAGCTCTTTTGTGATTTTCAAAAAACTCATACTCACTCCTTCAAGGGTTTGGGTTTAGAGGCAAGATACGGAAAAAGTCCCCCGCCCCCCTCCCCCCTGGGACTTGAAAATTTTTTTTTGCGAAATGTATAGAAAATTTGGAGGCCCTCCCCAATGAGTCCCTCTCAGGAAAAGGGAAAAAGGGAACCCGCCCCGGGATGGGTGGTGTCGGGGAAACCATCGCGACCCATGGTTCACACAGGCGTATTGTCTGCCAAGACGTGTAATTGGCAGGGGCACTAGTACCCATTGCGATGGAATACCCGTCGTCTGACAGTAACTTAGGCAGGCACTAGGACCTAGGCAGCACCTGTCAGTGCAGGGCGTCTATTTAAGCCAGCTCTGCAACAAACACTTGTTGTTCCCTATTGGTCTTTCACTGTATGGCTGTTACCTGTGTTGTGAAGTATCTTGATCTGGATTGTTTTGACCTTTGCTCAGCCTTCTCCCTCCCATGTCCTGACCCTTATTTAGGGGGGCCCCTACGTGTACTCTGCTCCTGGATGTTCCCCTTTAAATCTGATCTTTTAGGTATTGACCCTGCAATGTGACCCGACTATCCTTTGCCTACCGTTTTGTACCTCACCGACGCCGCTAGTTGCCCACCCGCCTGTATGACTCTGATTTCTAGCGTCATCCATCCCGCAGGGATCAACTAGGCTTCCCTCACATCAGACTACACTTAGCCCCCTGTCGAGCTCCTGTCAGAGCAGCCTGACGTCTCGTATGTTCTATTTATAATGTAAAATGGCACCTGTGTATTATCGGGTGCCATTTTGCCGAGTTTAGAGCGATAGGCACAAGATGAAGATTAATACAATGCAGTGGTCAACCCTACATGGGTGGATAATCAAAAAGAAAGACTAACCTCTATGTAGAGGAAAGGGGGAAAAAAAATTAAACTTTAATAATATTATAAAAACAAGGATGAAAATAAGAAACTGATAGAACAATATTAAATCACAGCGACAGCTGATGAAGTTAAAAACCATAAAATTTGTAACGTCTTAGCAAAAGCTGACAGAGGAGATGAACATTGTTTCTTTTAACTTGGGGAAATAAACTAAAAGGAAACTTTCTTTCTTTTAGCTGGGGGGAAAGTGACAGCTGAATCTCTGCGGTATAGTGAAGAAAAAAAAAGCCGTAATTACATTTAAAAACCGGCACCATAATAAATAAAAAAAAATGGCGTGGGGTCCCCCCTGCCATCCATATCAAGCTCTTCCGGTCTGGTATGGATTTTGAAGGGAACTCCCACTCCATTTTTTTTTTTTTAAATGGCGTAGGCGTCCCCCCCAAAATCCATACCAGACCCTTATCCAAGCATGCAGCCTGGTAGGTCAGGAGAGGGGGGGATGAGCGAGCACCCCCCCCCCTCCTGAACAATACCAAGCCACATGCCCTCAACATGGGGGGCATGCTTTGGGACAGGGGGGACTCCCCCCCAAAGCTCCTCTTCCCCACAACCCTGGAAGGTGGTTGTGGGGGTCTGTGGGCAGGGGGCTTATCATAATCTAGAAACTCCCTTTAACAAGGGGCCCCCAGATCCCGCTTCCCCCCATGTGAATGAGTATGGGGTACAATGGTCCCGATACTCATTTACAAAAAACAAAAATTGTAGTGTGAAAAAAGACAGGACACAGTCTTTGACAAGTCCTTTATTAAAAGAAAAAAAACTAAAGAATGTCCCCCGCAGTAGATCCAATGTCAAACATGATGTCTGCCACCGCCGCTACCTGAAAAAAGAATTAAACAAAAAGTCTTTCTTCTGACGATGGCTCCCACCATCTGCCTGCTCCAGAGGTTTGACAGTTCTTAAATAGATAAGGTGTGGGGCCAACTGGGGACATCACGCATGTTGACCCACCCCATGTGACATCAATGTGCTTTTGGGGGGAGCCCCCCTGTCCCAAAGCACCCCCCATGTTGAGGGCATGTGGCCTGGTATGGTTCAGAAGGGGGTGCGCTCACGTCGTCCCCCCCTTTCCTGACCTGCCTGGCTGCTTGCTCAGATAAGGGTACTGATATGGATTTTGAAGGACCCCCATGCCATTTTTTTTTTAAAGCTCGGCATGGGAGTTCCCCTCAAAATCCATACCAGACCCAAAGGGCTTGGTATGGATAGGAGGGGGAACCCACGCTGTTTTTTTTATTTATTTTTTTTAATTGCCGGTAATTCTTTTACATTCAGCTGTCAGTGGGGAAACCCACTGACAGCTGAAACATTAACACACATGGTTGTCACTACTAAAAAACCGCATGACTTGATAAAATAACTCATGCGGTATTTTAGTAGCGCTTACTTTTTCTCTGACCTCAAAAACGGGTAAATTGGTTTTTCAATGCATTCCTATGGGAAATGACGTTTCAGTTTACCAATTTTTCGCTATACGAAAAAGTTCCGCAGAACTAATTAAATTTGTAAACCGAGGTATGCCTGTGTGTATGTATTGTATGTATGTATATATATATATATATATATATATATATATATATATATACACTATTATGCCAAAAGTATTAGGATGCCTGCCTTTTAGATGCACATGAACTTTAATGGCATCCTAGTTCATAAGTTCGTAGGGTTTCAATATTGAGTTGGCTCACCCCTTTGCAGCTATAACAGCTTCAACTCTTCTGGGAAGGCTGTCCACAAGGTTTAGGAGTGTGTCTAGGGGAGTGTTTGACCATTCTTCCAGAAGCTCATTTGTGAGGTCAGGCACTGATGTCAGACAAGAAGGCCTGGCTTGCAGTCTCCGCTCTAATTTATTTCATAGGTGTTCTGTTGGGTTGAGGTCAGACTCTGTGCAGGCCAGTCAAGATCCTCCACCACAAACTCGCTCATCCATGTCTTTATGGACCTTTGCTTTGTGCACTGGTGAGCAGTCATGTTGGAAACAAGATGGGGGCAATCCGCAAACTGTTCCCACAAAGTTGGGAGCATGAATTTGAGTCCAAAATGTCTTGGTATACTGATGCCTTAAGAGTTCCCTTCACTGGAACTAAGGGCCAAGCCCAACCCCTGAAAACAACCCCCACACCATAATCCCCCCTCCATCAAACTTTACACTTGGTACAATGCAGTCAGGCAAGTACCGTTCTCTTGGCAACCACCAAACCCAGACACGTCCATCAGATTGCCAGACAGAGAAGCATGAGTTGTCACTCCATAGAACATGACTCCACTACTCTAGAGTCCTGTGGTGGTGTGCTTTACACCACTACATCCGACACTTTTCATTACACTTGGTGATGTAAGGCGTAGATCCAGCTGCTCGGGAATGGAAACTCCTTCCATGAAGCTCTCTACTACACACTGTTTTTGTGCTAATCTGAAGGCCACATGAAGTTTGGAGGCCTTTAACTATTGACTCAACAGATAGTTGGCGACTTTTTGCGCACTGTGCGCTTCAGCATGCGCTGACCCCGCTCTGTCATTTTTACATTGCTGTTGTTCCCAGTCGCTTCCTCTTTGTTATAATACCACTAATAGTTGATAGTGTAATATTTAGTAGCAAGGGAATATCATAGATGGACTTATTGCACAGGTGGCAACCAAAACTTGAATTCACTGAGCTCCCCGAGAGTAAACCAATTCTTTCACAAATGTTTGTAGAAGTAGTCTGCATGCCTAGGTGCTTGATTATATACACCTGTGGTCCATGGAAGTGATTGGAATGCTTGAATACAATGATTTGGAGGGGTGTTCCAATAAGTATGGCAATATAGTATATATAATATATAGATATATATATATATACTTATATACTGTATATATTATAATGTGCAAACATAAGTAACCCTGTACAAAATAAAATAAATATTTTTGTGCAAAAGTGGTTGGTGCAAAACTCTGCTAGAAGCTGTACATATTCCAATTCCCTTACATATATATATAATGTAAATATTACAACAGCAATACTGTGCAAAATACAAAAAAATCTCTTTGTGCAAAAAATTCTTAGTGTGAAACTCAGTCCTATGTGCAATTCTCCAGTGTGCAATCTTCAATCACATCAAAGGTGCAACCTTCGACAACTTGCCTTGCACCATTCTCAGAGAACTCACCAAAAACCAAGACCCTTAAGATGTATGGGTTATACTGGCTTGTGAATATCCAGATCTCATAAAACATTATTTTCCCATATGGATTATTCATGAAATCAGGAAAGGAGAAGAGGAAAAATTGCATAATTCTGTTTATTAAAACACATTAAAAGCAAATAAAACCAATCCATACACATTCAGCAGTGCATTCCAGCACTAACTTTACAGCTTATGTGGTTTATGAGAATACAGATCTACCTGTTTTCGGCTGCATTCAAGTGACTGTTCTCAATGTGGGATGATGTCACATGCCTGTAACCACCCCCCTAACCAGTTTGGTTGTCAAGCACGTCTTCAGGGGTTGTAAACAACTGACTGTTTTATAATATGTTTTAAGAAGCTTTAGTAGCACTGACACTTTTAATTATAGCACTTTAGTTTAAAGGATATTGCACAATACACTTGGGCAGCACAGTGGCTAAATGGTTAGCACTTCTGCCTGGTAGTACTAGGGTTGTTGGATTGGTTCAAAGCCATGGTACCACCTGCCTGGAGTTTGCATGTTCCTTCTCCCTGTGCCTTACTCTGGTTTCCTACCACACTCCAAAGACAATAGGATAATTGGATCCTTTCTAAATTGGCCCTAGTGTGTGTATGTATGAATGTGAGTTAGGGAACTTAGATTGTACACCCCTTGAGGGTTAGGGACTGATGTGAATGTACAATATAAATGATATGTAAAGCACTGTGTAAATTGATGGCGCTATATAAGTACCTGCAATAAATAGATTAAACACTGCTTTATTTTAAAATTCTTTACAGGGAACCCCTTTTTTTCTGCATTCTTTTTCAGTGACAGAGTCACTTTAAAATGCATTGTGAAATAACTTAGAACACAAATTCATGTTATTTTCATTAAACATTCACAATTGTGTTTAAGTAAATAGCTTAGTATAACTTCACATTTAAACAAATATATATTTTCTTTTCAGTTTTCATTCTCACTTTGCATTCCCTGGAGATGTACACACATTTTTCAAAATCACACTCACTAGAATAGTCTCTCATTTAGAACATGATGACTCTCCCCCGCATGTCTCTTTGATTATAGATATTTAGCTAACCTGTCATGAGAAAGATAACGGTGCTCTAAACACCCATGGTTAAGAAAGCATTTTATTATCCTTATGACTTAAAGATTATATTTTTAAAAACCAGTATCTTTTTCTACAGGTTAATATAATGATTTATACAAAAGAAAACATATCCTAAAGAAAACGTATCAACAAACCTTGATATTTGTAAATGGGGTTCTTTTCAGAACAAGTTTTCTAGAGCTGGAGATATGATATCAGCTTTCACACAGCTCCATTTATTTGATTAATGTAACATCAAGTGGCTGGATAGATTAATTTCTAAAAGTATTTACATTACTATAGAGAATCCTTTGGTAAAGCTAAGACTTCCTACCCACTCTTATACACAGTATTTCATTCCAGTAGTTTATTCTTTATCTTCTAACTGTAAATTTAATTCTTTTTGTGTGCAAACTGCTGCCCTTTCAGCCAGACTAGCACAACAAACTGGACCAGAGTTTTAAGGGTGAATTGACTACATGGTAAAATGCATGTAATAACAGGACACACAGGAAACAATTGCTTCCTATGTGTCCCATTTACACTGCAGCACAGTCTTATCTCAGAGTACTGCACCAAATGGCATGGCAATATACAGCACCTCAGTGCATCGTGCTGCTGTGCCATTAATGAAGTGTAAATTTTATACACTTCATATAGTTTGTCCAAAACAAAAAAAAAGGGAGCCATGTAATATGCTAGATTGCACCCCACACTGCCCCCTACAGGAACAGAGAGCTCTGAAGAAAAGGACATTGCCTTGAAAAGCTACACCCCTGTAGATAGACACGTTTTCAGTGTTGGGACTGGATCATGTTACATGCACTTTATTGTGTACTATTGTGTACACTGGAATTTGGTATTATTAAATACATAGTCTTATGATAATACACTAAGCCGGTGTGCCTTCCCTCTTTGTTTTTTTTTCCCCCTCAATTAAGTGTCTCCACTCCACCAAAGCTAACTAAATCACAAGGCTCTCACAATCACAAATAGAATAGTTCCTTTCAGAAGGTGAGACTTTTTTTAAAAAAGGGATATGGTCATTTTTTGCCAGCCACAACCTTAGGAAGAAGCACTCCTATTTCAAAAGAAGGAACATCCACTTCAGGAAAACATGTTTTTTGTAAGTCAAGTCTAGATAAGGAGGGACCAGCAATGAAAGCATCCTTGACTTCATGATAATAGCCTTTTCAGGCTAGTCTAGGCATTAGCTACTGAGTAAGAACCATGATGAAGATTTTAAATAAGTTTTACAATATTAATTGGAACACCCCAAGAATCTCTGGACGGCCCTTTGAAAATGTTGGGTAGTTCAGTACACACATGATGGGAAACAATGGGAAGAGAGATAAAAGGAAAAAAAATGTCCAAGTATGCTACCACTGACTTATGGAGTCCATCTCTAAAGATTTTATTAACAAAAATGCTGCATGACCACCAAGGCATTGTGGAACCCAAAGGGCAATACTAAATATTCATAGAGCCCATTTCTAGTACAGAAAGTGGTCTTAAGATTAAAGACAGAGTACTCTTCATAGCTTTAGACTCTGAGTGAATAAATGCATCTTTGGGTGGGGTGGAACCTGGGACCAAATCAATTGTGCAGTCATATGACCTATGAGGTGGTAGGTGGTCTGCCCCTTTCTAGCTAAAAGTGCCCCTGATGGCTTACCTTTACCAAAGCTCCTAGTCCCACATTGGTCATGCTTCCACTGAGTTGAATGACTATGCCACTCAGTGACCTGTTGCTCAGGCAATGCATCCACACCTTGGGTCCCTTCTCCTGGCCCCTCCTTCACTCTGTCAATAGGGCTTTGACTCTGCATCATCACTCTGTTGCCAGGAAACATCATCTGCCTTCTTATCCCTGATACCCTAATTGGTTCATCCTTCCTGAGTGCCTCATCTAAACTTTACAAGCCCTGCACCTGATACTTGTTATAGGTTTACTTATATACCTGACCAGCTACCACTGCTTGATTCTGAATACATGTGTACTTACAATTTTGGCTGTTTTCTGACCATATCCTTCCCTGCTGCCTGGGATGATTTTTTTTGCACTGTTTACAGATCCCATCCAAGTCAAGTGTATCGGCTCCCAGACAAGCCAAGAGGACCACCAAGCAACACTGATCAGAATTCTGAGGGTTAACTCCTGACTTGGGTTGGAATGACCCTGCTCTATGCAGCCCGATTAGACTGGGTCTCTCTGACACAGTTAAGGACTCTTTTGTACATTATCCCAATCCTTTATATTTGGAAGAAGCCATGAGTTTAGTTGTAAAAGATCTGACTTTAGCCATCAGTTAGGTCTATTATAGGATCTATAAACTTTATCTTACTGTAGGGACTTTATATCCAGACCTTCTGAGTCATCCCATAATCGTCCAACCCATTACTGATTAAAATTCAGCTCATATTTTCTCCTCTTTTGATTCTTACCTCACTATGTGCCTCAGCCACCCAATTCTCACCACTACAATTATTCTGGATACCTCACCCTCCTGCTTTCTGGATCTCATGGATGTGCTTTCAGGAGAATCTGTTTCTGTCCTGCCTTCTTGCAGGGTGAATGATTTCCCAATTGACATGTTGCCCTGTCTTATTTTTTCAGACTCTGGAATGGCCATGGATCCAGCCAAAATCCAGACTATTCTGCAATAGACTTGTCCTTCCTGTTTAACCCCTTGATGCTGACGTAGCACAAATATGCAGCCTCACAGAACTGGGCTTTTTCCCGTGGGGCCACATATTTGCGTACCTGTCTTTGTGCTTGTCCCAGCACAAAGACTGCTGTGTCACTGAGAGCATCGGGTTCTGTTCTAACGATTGGGACCCGAGACTCCCGATGCCGGGTCACATGATCGCTGTGATAGCCTCTGAGTGGCTAGTAATCAGTCACTGTACAGCCCGGCCCCCTTGTTTTTTTTTATCTCTATGAATGGAGGAGAGAGATACATTGCATCTCTCTAACTCTTGGCATAGAGGGGGTGAAAAATGTTTGTAAAAGAAAAAGATAAATATATTAATAAATATTAAAAAATTAAATTAAAAAAACCTAGATCAAGGTTTGATCTAGTTCAATACCAGAGTAAGTGTTTGGGTCAAGGTCAGGGTCAAGGTCTAAAGGTCAGGGTCAAGGGTCAGGATTTAAAACAAAATTTGGTATCAGTGTCAGTTAGTGTCAGTGTGTTTTAGGTAAAAAAAAGACAAAAACAAAATGCGCACTATTGTTTCTGGGCTGTACTATGGGTACAAACAACAATTAACATATGCATATATGGTATCGCTGCGATTGTCAAGAGCTGGAGAATTTATTTTGGGTTGTTCTTTGGTGGTAGGTTATGGTACAGGTTATGGTACACAGCTAAATAAAAAAAATGATTTTTTTTACTATTTGGGCCAATTTTCCTTTGATAATAAAAAAAAAAATCAGGAGACATCCATTACCATTTACCACCAAATGAAAGCCCAATTTGTCCTGAAAAAAACAAGGTATAATTCACCGGTTTTACTAA